TATTATCTCAAGATCCCTGCAATGTGCGGACTCGGACATTGCGATATCATTGCTAAAACAATATATTGTGCAGCCCTAGTTACGTTTGTAAGTAAACATTATTTAGAAACTGGTAATATCCTCATATTATTTCCAGCATTTTCCATTTTATTTTATCAATAAAAAGTAATTATGCAGTAATTATGAAGCTATCATTTGATCATCTGTATCAGAAGCATTTTATTTTTGTCATTCATGACCATGGCCATGACTGACAAATTTTATGTTTATATTTATGAAATGAGAATGTATTTCTCAGTTTTTTAACTAATACAAGGTGATTTTTATTTTGAAGCATTTAGTTTCTTTTATATGTATGCAGCATATTTTACAGTATTTTTATTAGTTTGTTGTTATATGTTTGCTTTTCTTTTTTAGCCCTATTTTGCCTCTTCTTGTCCAGCCTTTTCCTTCAGCTCACCTCGTCACATGAGATTTATTGAGTGTAAATTAGTGTCGGGGAAGCCGGTTTGTTTGCCTTGCAGTTTTAGTTCTCTCTCTGATTACCGTCTTCACATGCTTTTTTTGCCACTTTTATTTAGTCAGGCAGAGAGAATTGACTCTAAACATTGAACTGGACTTAAACGAATCACTCCAATAAGGTGGAATCTAATTTGTGGGAGCTGCTTCACAAATAGTTTTTTATATCTAATAGCAATTCCAAGAATGTTTGCTCACGGATTGTTTAAGTGCGCTATAAACAGTTGAACAGAATAGCTTTGCACAGAAATGTCACTTGCCATGTTAGCCAGAGGGTGAATAGGCCACCTGTGTGAACTGTTAAGGCTGTTAGGTTTTATGATCCGTCTCTTTCTCTCTAACACACACACACAAACAGACGAGGTGAAATGACAAGTGAGATATGTGTTTGTGTGATTTGTTTTTAAATCTCCTTACAAATATGACACTTTAGGAATAAAAAATAATTTGCTCCTTATAAAAAAAAATGAAAATATATGACTTTAGATCTTGGTGAACAAGCTCATTTAAGTGCAACACACTCTTCCCAACAACTAAACACCTGCCATCATTAAGCCGTTTGGTTGGCCTTCTAAAACACTTACGTTCAATCCATAATTTTGTTCAGCTTTATAAATATTAGTATTTTTAAAAATTCATTCCTGCACATAAATCTCGTTGGGTCTCCTTGGGGACGTGGTGACAGTGTCTGTGAGCCGGATCTGCACGGGGTCGTTCAGACGAGTATTCTGGGAAATCTCCACACCCCTGAATGTGCAGATAACAAGTATTAACTGGGGCTTATTGGAAGCAGATGCCCTTTTCCCAAAAGCCTCAGCAGGGTTAATTTCTGAGAGTTCAGGACTGCGTGTTTTACTGCTGCGATCGAGTGGAGCATTCATGTGTTATGCGTGTGTGAGTGTGAGCACAGTTCTGTGAATGATGCTTCAGTTCCTTGAAAGACTTGCCAGTTGATGTGTTTCTTTTGCTTATAGGTGACTAAAAACTAAATGAGTAAAATCATGCATGAAGGGGCTTTCAAACATAATGCTTTATTATTATTATTATTATTATTTTAACACAATGTTAGATAATAACTGTAATACATGTAAGACACCTGTTAGAATAACACAGCTTTGTGTGCTTGCTAGTAGGAACTGTAAGCTTGCGTTTGCGTTTAACACAGTATTTTTGTGTAATGTTATTTAATTATGTAACTCAAGCATCATGCTCTCTCGTTTCATATACAAGCACAGCTGCTGCCTTAATCATCTTGTCAGGCTTATGACTTAATTTTTTTTTTTTTGTGATAATTAATTAAGCTTTAATCACGATACATGGTATTATCACAGTGTTAATATATACTGCATATTAATATATGCTGATATAGCTGGTTTCGCTTTATTGCACATAAATGTTAAATTGTAAAAGGATTATAAAGTTCAGATCTACACTTTACAATAATGTATCATAGGTAATTTATCAATATCAACAGTGAGAAATTTATGCATGTTGTTTTAGACAACTTTTAATTGTAACAGCTTATTAAACATTAACTTAGAAATAAACATCATTAGGGATATTTAACCCAATACTGAAGATTGTCATCATTTATTCACTCTTCACTTGTTTCAAATGGGTTTGACTTTCTTTCTTCTGTTGAACACAAAAAGAAGATATTTTGAATAATGTTGAAAAACCATGAACCTTTCCTAGACAAGTCAATGGTTACTGAATTTCAGCTTTCATCAAAATATCTTCTTTAGTGTTTAACAGAATTTTAAAATTTTAGAACCACTCAAAGGTGTGAAAAAAACCTTTTTCATGTTCAATTTTGCGTTTAATGAATGCTTTCATTTGCATCATAAGTTTAAATTAGCTAACCGTAATGTTAACAAAAAGAAAAGAATCTTGTTATAGAACCACAGGCCTATAAACAATAACAACATTTTCAATCAATATTTAATCAATTATATCCTACTAATTCTTCAAGTAGTTAGTACTATGATGATGATTACTAAATACTGCAAATTTGAATTTACTTAAAACATACTAAATTTAGTTTGAATAATAATTGTTATTTTTAATATAAATATAACAGTATCATGTTCTCCCCGTGTTGGCGTGGGTTTGCTCTGGGTGCTCCGGTTTCCCCCACAGTCCAAATACATGCTCTATAGGTGAATTGAATAAACTAAATTGGCCGTAGTGTATGAGTGTGAATGAGTGTGTATGGATGTTTCCCAGTACTGGGTTGCAGCTGGAAGGGCATCCACTGCATAAAACATATGCTGGATAAGTTGGTGGTTCATTCCACTGTGGTGACTTCTGATGAATAAAGAGACTAAGCTGAAAGAAAATGATTGAATGAATAACAGTATCATCATATTGTATTATAGAATATCATCACATGTCTAGTCATAACAATCGTTTTTGTACACTGTTATGGATTGTAAAGTTTGTAAAACAGTTTCATCATACATCAGTATCTCTGGTCCCCATATTTCTTGTAATAAGTATTATAACTGTATTGTATACCTAAATTAACTTTTAGCTTGAACTTGCCACTAGCTAGCAACAGCTTTCTTCATGAAACTGTGCTAATACAATATCTGAACTTGAGTCAATATTTGTGTGTTTATATATGTAAAGAAGCCATGTAATAAGTGGGATAATGCATATTCAGCTGGCTGTTATCTCAAATTAAACCCATTTTAGGGGATTTAAGCTGGTTGCAATATTTATTTTGTTTGTACTCTGCTTATATGAGTACTGCTTGTGTTGAAAGTAGAGCTGCACTGTACAAAATGCTGTAAAATTTACGGCATTAGTGGCAATTTTGATTGCCAGAAATACTGTAAAATTTACAAGTGCATCTTAAATTAACAGTATTATTGGCAATTTCAAAGTATTACTGGCAAAATTTACAAGTGCACCTTAAATTAACAATTACAATTGTATTATAAAAAAATACAGCACAGTTGTAATTGTTAATTTAAAATGTAATACTGTAAAAATTGCCAATAATACTGTAAAAAAAGTGCACTATAAATAAACAATTACAACTATGCTGTAAAACTACAGTATTACTGGCAACCAAAATTTCAGATTATAAAATTTCACTGCATTTTTTACAGTGTATGGAATGTGGCGAAAAATCAAATGGATAAAATAAGTAGTCTATCATTTCATATTATGCTTTATAGTTTATATTGTGTAACCGTAAAGTATACATTGTTTACAGTAATACTTTTTTATCATTTATATGAGCTCAAAGTATCATGCCATTATAGGGATTCAGAGAGAAACATCAATAACAGCATCATGAGAAAGTTGCAATCCTGAAAATACAGAGCAATATTTTATGCTGGGCCTGTAATCATTAGTTTTTAAAAGTATATTATATTCATATGTATTTTATATGTCTACATTACTTAACTACATCACATGTCTTAAGATCTAATTAAAGTGAGAAATATGAACACATATGAATGAGTAGATTTTTGAGTAAATATTTATATTTGAATAATTAATTGATTGAATTTATAGAAAGAAGGGCTGTATCGTGATGTATATCGTTTTCGGGATATGAGATGACTTACATTGCAATATGGGATTTTTGTCATATAGCCCAGACCTAACTTAAAGTACTCAATATACAAAACAATGTACCCCAATACTCCCGACATCATCCATATGATGTGTAAAACTCAAATCCAAGACTCCAAATAATCTGCAAAACAATGACAAACAAAAAAAAGTGGCTTACCTACAGTGTATTGGAAAATGCTTCCGTTTTCCTAGAACTTGGATGTTCTATTGATCTTTCCAAGAGCAAAGAACTCTGGAATGCGGTCCATCTTGTTGCTATAGCGATAGCAGTCTCCCCATACCTTTATTTTTATCACTGTCTGATGGATTGTGTCTCAAAGCATGAGCTGTAATTGTGTAAGTGCCTATCTCTGTGTATTTGTGGGCTCTATCATCAGTGCTCTAGTGATGTTTTTCTCCCAGAATAATTGGAGTAAATTGAGTTCTTTGAAGCTGTACCATCCTTTCAGAGGTAATTTACAGTGACTCTATTAGCAGAATAATAGGGAAACTACGTCTAACATCAAATGCGCCATTGTTAGGCTCAGAGCAGGCATTGGGTTTTTCATTGTTTCATTATGTTTTTTTTATAAACTTCCCAGTAAGAATCTTTTGAATACTCAAGGTAACATGTCGCAGTATGAAAAGTTTATTACATTAGTGGCACAATTGTAAGGGATCTTTATGTTAGTTTTTAAATAAGTTGATGCATTTATTCGGATCACTGTGCCAAGAAAGCATATTTATGTTTTATAAATAGCATTTTTATATAAGATTAATCCTTATTGTATCATTGTCAAGAAAAATATTAGTCATACAAAACTTATAAGCAAAAATAACTTTAAATTGAAATTAGTATTATAAAATGTTTATTTGAAATTGATTTTTCAGTTTATTACAGTATATAATATGATAACACAGTTAGAGTAAAAAGTAAGATTAGCAAGGTTAAAAAAATGAAAAGTTACAATAAAGTCTACAAAGGAATTGTATTACACTACTAAATAACAGACTTCTGGAAGAGCTTTGTTTTTACAGTGAATCATTATAAATGAGTATAAAGCGTCACCTGCTGTCTGGAGAACAGCTCCACTGTGTAGGTGGTGAGAGTCTGAGAGATGATGTTTAGCAGGACTTTACAGCATAATTCAATGTATTACTTCGTGATGTTTGTGTTTACCGAATAGTTTAAACAATTAAGATACTGTGTTAATTTCGGAAAATGAACAACAATATACAAAAGATAAGAATAAACAACGAGAATATGAAAGGAAATGCTATAGAAAAAAGCACCAAATACGCTGGGCCCTGTCCTCTGAGAGAAGTTTCATAATTCCCAACTGTGATCTGAAATGACAATAAAGAAATTGTCCTATTCAGAAATTTGGCTTATTAAAGATATTAAACTTAGCATATACTTTACAGTTAAAGTCAGAATTATAAGCCCCCAGTTTTATTAACTCATTTCTAATAACTGATTTATTTTATCTTTGCCATGATGACAGTAAATAATATTTGACTAGATATTTTTCTAGACACTTCTATACAGCTTAAAGTGACATTTAAAGGCTTAACTAGGTTATTTGGTTAATTAGGCAGGTTAGGGTAATTAGGCAAATTATTGTATAATGATAGTTTTTCTGTAGACTATTGAAAAAAAGCATAAAGGAGCTAATAATTTTGACCTTAACATGGTTTTAATAAAAGAAAAACTGCTTTCATTCTAGCCGAAATAAATCGATTAAGACTTTCTCCAGATGAAAAAAAATATCATATATACTTTGAAAATTTCCTTGCTTTGTTAAACATTATTTATGAAATATTTAAAAAGGGAAAAAAATCAAAGGGGGGCAAATAATCCTGACTTCAACTGTATATATCTTTTAAAAACAGACTTACCTGGAGTGAATCCACTCCTGGGACTGTTCCCGATTCTCCTTTAATCGTGCAGATAACAGAACGGGACTCAATTCTCTCTACAATACAGTGATACTTGAGATCTCCATGTAGAACTTCCACATTCACCTCACTTATTCTCAGATTCAACTCATCTGCCTTTTTCTGAGAAAGAGAGAATGTGAGATTATGTGAAGGTTGTTGTGAATTTCTCATGTTGATGGCTTGTCATTATAGTGTTTCCTAAGAAGTAACCAGAGCTCTGTAGAGACATGCATAAATCCAACACACATGCTAAAATTGTGTAGACTTTATACTGATGTTACTCTCGCTGTATCACTAAACTCACCTTAATGTTCACTTGGAGATCATTGGCCACCTGGAATGAGGTGAATGCGGTGAATGTTGGACTGTCCAAAGACAACTGTCCACAGGACAAAGTAGAGTTTCCAACCTTCAAGGAGAACCGCTGGATTAAGAAAAAATCATAATCATCATTATTTTGGTGACAATTTTAACAATAATTTAATGCGAAGCAAACTAACAAAGAGTCCTCTAAATCATAGAAAAAAATTAAATGTACAAATGAAACAAGGGCGACATGGTGGCTCAGTGCATAGCACTGTCCCCTCACAGCAAGAAGGTTGCTGGTTTCCGGCTGGGTCAGTTGGCGTTTCTGTGGAGTTTGCATGTTTCCTCTGTGTGTTCCGATTTCCCCCGCAGTCCAAAGGTATGCGCTATAGGTGAATTGAATAAACTAAATTGGCTGTAGTGTATGTGTGTGAATGAGTGTGTACGAGTACTGGGTTGCAGCTGGAAGCGCTGTGTAAAACATATGCTGAATAAGTTAGTGGTTCATTCTACTGTGGTGACCCCTGATAAATAAAGGGACAAAGTCAAAGGAAAGTGGATGAATAAAACAAACTGTGCTTTAAATGATATCTATTATGCACAATTGACTTTTATGAGGGGTTTAAAGACAATTGTGTGGCGACAGTGACTGTGACTATAACCAGCTTCTAATGGTAAAAATGTATTGAGTTTATTTTTATAATCTTACTTAAAAAAAAATGCCTGCAGAAACACTTTGATTGACATTCTCCCTTTGTACATGTCATCAGAGGGGGAAAATCTCAACCATTAGTGACAATATCTCCCTTATTAGCACAGGACAATTGTTTTTGAATCTGCCACTATGCTGGCACACTTGCTAAGCAATTTATAGAGCACATTTTACAGCTCTTTAAAATTCTTTTTTTTTAAGGAAATGCTAATGTTTAATCTGATTCAATTAATTATGCTAAGCTAAGCAAAGCTAAGTTATAAGTGACCTCGCCAGAACAAGATATCATCTGAATGAATTCAAAAATGGTTTGAGCCAACAGTCTAATTCTCAGAGACTTGTAAACATGTTTTCAAAAACAGCGGAGTGTTCCTTTAAGCTATGACGTCACATGTGTAGATGCCAAAATCCAAATTCAAAATGAATGTTAATTAATTGAACAGCCCTACCTTTAAGCTATATGAACTGAAAAACTGGGGGGAGAGAAACCACACATTCTGAAAATTAGACAGAAAGAAAATGTGAGCATAATACTTTTTTCTGTGAATAAATACAGTTCAGTTTGAATTAATAATACATATCAACAGTCAGTTTATTAAACAATTAAAGTAGCAAATTAACAAGAATGAGAACTTATGCACTACATGTGCACATAACACAATAGGTCATATCAAGCCCAGTTAGCTAGGATTTATTCAAATCAAATCTCACCCCTGTGTTTGGGTCGTATTGTGCTTGAAGAGGGTATTCAAAATTAATTGATTCCACAAGTTCCATATTACTTCCATGAACATATATTTTTCTTCCACCGCTGCATTAAAAAATATTACAAAATAGTGTAATGATATAAAAAAAATAGCACACCAGAATCAGGCAAGGCAAGACTAAGAAACACATGGTATAATATTTTCAGCATAGTATACTATAGTAGTCAACATGTGAATAAAAGGAATTTCAAAAATTGGTTTCAAAATGATCCTTAGGTTATTTGATCAGAAAAATAAATCTTTAGACAAGGATGGATTTTGTTTAATAGTTTTAGGACAACTTAGAAGAATTTTTGATCCACTTCAGATGTTGACTGTATATATAGCATCCAACATAAAATCTGTTACACACAGTTTTTGTATTCTATTTTAAATTATTGTCATTTGTTTAATGGCACAAAGTACACTATACAGGGGACAAATGAAATCGTCTAGTGAAAGATTGATTTGACTTTTTTGTTTCATAAGATAGCTTTTACAGCATTGATAATGTAGATGTTTAGTAGAGTAAATAAGTAAATAGCGCTGTTCCGCCTGCTTTACTGAGCTGAAGTTGGTTTTATATTCACATTGGTTTGTTTTTGAACAAAGACAACCTGTGATGTGCTCCCTATATTGTTTACCATGCTACTTTGAATATAGGGTCGAAAGACCATGTAAGTATGGCTTAGTAATAAGTGTAATTCCTACATGATGCTGGCCAACCCCTAAGCATATACCAGATTCGATTTGAGACAAAGCGTAAGAGAGAGTAAGACCAGCGATACTTACATGCATGAAATATTGCACATTATGACAAGTTTTGCTTGCTAATTACATAACTGAATGTACTGCAACAAACTAGAGAACTGCAATGTCTTTATTGCAATACTGAATACTGCAGTTTTTTCCACATGTGAGCACTGTATTTTACATTATGGGTTGGACTCACACATTTTAATAGCTTCACTGATTGTTCCCAGTTTATCAGAAGTGACTCTCCTCATTCACAAAAAGCATCATGGGGCATAGGAAAACGGTGGATAATCAAAGCTGTAGTTGATCTCCTGTTTGTATCTTTCAGCTTTAATACTGCAAAGCTAATTGCTTATGAATAGAATAAAGAATAATTTTATTTTGTAAAGTACTATACAATAAACTTGATATGACAAATAGCTGAGCTTGTGCATGCACCTACGTCCATGAGCAGATCAGATGCAGATTCAGTTGCTGTTTCCTTTCTTTTTTGTTTTTATAATTTTATTTTCACCTCTACACAAATAGTTCAGAATATGTTTGCTGTTTTGTATAAAAGGCTTTGCCTGTGGTCTGAAATGATCTTACCTGTACCAGGTGTATTTTGGCTGTATTTCTGTGCAGCTTGGCAGGGAACTGTAAGTGATGATGCTGTTACCATGACAACGGTCATCTTCAGTAACAACACACATTTTCACTTTTCCTTTAGTTTCACTGGGAGGAATGTGGAACACTAAAGTGTCACTGGAGCCATCAAAAACTGGAGATCTGGAGGAAAACATTCATGCCCATGAACAGTAGGATACAACAGAACTAAAAGTACATTAACCCTCTATTACACCGTGGCAAAAAGAATCAATATTGGCTTTTACTAATTTACTCAACGGATGACACACCCACACATGCACAAATGTCCTGTAATTTTTCTGAACCTACACACATTCATTTACTGAACATCACTGAACACAGACACACAGTCTCACTCTTTAGCAATACAGTCCAGATCTCCCTGAATACGGATTTTGGTGACAGAGTCCAGGTTTCTTCCTCTTAGTAAAACATTGTTTCTACCATGAAAAGAAACTTTGTGTGGCTCTAAAGAGAGAATCTCTGGCTCCTACAAGATAACAAAAACAGGTTTCATGATATGCAAGGTGTTTGAACATTTTATTGAGCTCTTCTACAAGATATTTTACTTTCTCTTTGAGCCTGACACTTACTTCATACTTGGAGAGTAGATCCTTACATGCATCCTAAAGAACAGAAGCATTTAATGTCTTTTTTAGATTTGCTTCAGGCTGTGCATTCATATTTCAGCTTTCAACAATAAATTAGATCTTGACTCTGCATGAATATCAAGCGTTTTTTCAGATAACTATATATTTTACATTTGACATTTTCTTACCCGGATGTGTAATTGTGGTCCAAATCCATCTGACCAATCACATCTTTGGGTTGTAGAGGACCAGTGACACCCAGATGAGATACACTGCACACACCTGTGTTTATTTAATGTTACAATGCGTCTTTTAAAACTCGTATACCTGAAATACATTAAATATATTATGCAACTTTTTAAGACACTTTTTATTGTTCTTACTGTGTAACAGGAGGACTTGGTGAATTATCCGTGATGTTCAAACAGTTTGTCAGTGTCAGCATCTCCGTGATTTTCTGATCTTCAATATTAATTAAAGCTGAGACGTTTAATTCTGGATAGATAATAAAAAAGTAATCAGAAAGACTATTTAAAAAAAATACATTTGGAAGACAATTTTATAAAAAAGCGGCAAATGTTTCTTATAATTTATATAGATTATATTTGGATTAAAGTAACCAGGTTTATTTAAGAATGTATTTTTTAGGAAGTATTTGAAAGTAAGTCATTCTGTGCATTTGAGATGCTTTATTATTAAATGTATTTGCAGTTTCAGCTAGTTAAGAGACTTAGGGCGTACCCACAATATGTACAGTTGCCTTGAACCGGGCAAAAGCACAATTGTCACCCCTCCCGTCTCCCCCGACGGCCCGCACTCACATTACATTCGGGCCTGGGCATGCTTACGTCATTGATGATGCGCTGTTCAGTAAGCGCATCAGAGTGGAGATTTCTTCAGTTATATCTTTTAAGTCGTTTGCTATGCAGTGACACACAGTCTAATATTTCGTCGAACAGATCAGCCACTTTTAACGCTCATAAACAATCATAAAGTCCTCATGCTGCAGCTATTAGGAGGTTTGCTGAAGGTGCAGCTGTTGTGCAGTGAGGGGTTTGCGTCTTTAATAATCTATGACAGTTTGTGTTCATTGAACAGTAAAGATGATTAATAAACCATATCAAACAGTCCCTTAAAAGTCACGTCTCGCTTTCAGTTTCGGGCACATTTTGCACTCACACACAAGCGTACCGCACCAAAGCCCAAGTGAACCGCGCACTGTGGGTGAGCCCGATTCAGAGCACTCACACTTCTCAAACGATCCGGGAAAGGGTCCTGGGCATGGTTCGGAAAGCATAGTGTGAGTATGTCCTTAGGGCCCTATCATACACCCGGCGCAATGAGATGCAAGACTTGTTTGGAAAGATTTGTAGCTATTTTCAGCCCAGTGCAACCCTAGTTTTCACTTTTTGTTAAGGCGCATTGTTGGTGAGTTGCTATTTTGAGAAACTAAAATAGACTGCGCAATTGATCAGCTCTGTGGTTACTGAGTTAAGAACAACTTCATTTCCTCGCTACAGACATACAAATACACACATGGTATAGTCAAAAACATCAAGGGTAAAAAATGCATACCATTATAGCCTTTAGGATATTTGGCCTATATTTTGTACAGAATATTTTACTTGAATCAATCACTTTAGTATTTTGGTCAACACATCAAAATAAGTGTACCTGAATGAAGATTAGTAATACAATGATTTAAAATGTGCTTATATAAAACAAACTATGTTTTCATTATTATAAATTGCACTTTTAAAAGTTGGCATTAAATGGAAGTTTAGCTTGTTCTTTTTTTCACCTATTGTGATGTAAATACATTTGAAACGGTTTTAAAATGAGAAAAAATCT